AGCTGCTCAGCTCATTTATTACCACCATAGTTGCAGCTATTCTAGAATCAAATCGGGTTCACCCAAATCTCCTTCACATGAATTCGACGGCCATCCTGCAACTTCAAATGGTTTTTGCATAATTTTTTGAAACTTTCTGGAAAAGAAAGGAAAGGAATGGGAAGGAAAAGAGAAGAAAGGAGACATGTGAAAAAAGTGGATTATTTTCTCTTATTTGGTGGAAGAAATAAAATACAGTAAAAGAGACCGCAGGGAAAATTAATTTCTAGGAAAATGGGAAGAAAAGAAAATTTCTTAATTGTCTTTTCGTCAGCCCTATAACGGGGTTTCTCTCCCATTTTCTTCCCTCATTCCCCTCTCCAGAAGGACCAGAACTTTCCTTAAATAGGAACCAAACAACCCTTAAGATTTCCCCCCCCCCCCATCTTTTCTCTCATTTTCATGGAGAATTATGGAGCAGACAAGTGGAGTACATAAAACGAAACCTCTTTTTCTGATCAGTAGAAGAAATATCTTGGAGGAGAAAAAAAATCAGCGAACAACAATGCTACCACCACACATAAATACACGCACACTTACACACACTCACAATAGGAATGGGTCCATACACATTGCTTGGGGCCGACCTTTATTATTTGTCTAATAAATGGGTCTCTCAGGACGTGGAGGGTGTGGGGGGAGTTGGTTGGGCATAGTAATTTTACATCGTTTTACCCCTGGCCGTTAATTAATGAAACCATTAACGGAAAATAAAAAATTCAATTGTAGGAGGGTCAATTGAGAAATCATTTAGGTGGTTTCCTACTCGTGGATGGAAGAGAAAATAATTATACGGAACATGCAACTCATATCTCATATTTGGAACATTTACTAATCTATCCAATTCTATGTAGTAGGAGTAATATTTACGGAATGACTTTTTGCTCATGAGCCTTTCGAGTCAAACACACATGTGCTCAAGATTGGCTTGAATTTCTTAACAAATGAAAAAATGTGATTCCGGTTGGCTTATATGTTTTCCAAACAAGTTTGAACAAGTCAAAAGTCGAGCCAAGCTCAAGCTTTTTGGTTCATTTAGCAGCCATACCAATATTCAAAATACAAATTTTAGTAATAAAAAGCTTCATTAATGGCATTTTTAAAAATTTGGGGGAAAAAAAAAAATCATCTATTGCGATGTCCACGGGACTCCAGTTTAGGCCTTAGGGTGAAAGACATTTACTTTATTATTCAAAAATTCAACAGGAATTATTCTTTACTATTCATTATCTATTTTCTTTTTAAAAAGCATTCTTTTTATATATAGTATTATAAAAGTATTTCAAATTTCATATAGAAATCCATCGATTCCGTCAAGCTAATTATATGTCATGGATTATTAACGGTTTCCACATAAACGGGTTTGATCGCGAGCAGTGCTCCCGTCAAGCTAACTATATGTCGTGTATTATTAACGATTTCCACATAAGCAGGTTTGATCGCAAGCAGTGAGCACGTACGTGCTGCATATTTGATGCTTTCCTGTGGAAAATCAATTATTTTAGGCCATTTATAACCATGAGATCGATGGGAACCTGACAATAAGTTCTGTTCAGGTTGGACTTAATGTTTTAATAATTCGTTAACATCCAACACTTTCAAAATGAATATAAATTTATGAAATAGTCCATACATTTTCCAGAATCATAGCACTTTCATTAGCAATCAATATCGAAATTAGTCCATCAGCGAAAAAATATAGTATCTAAATTAGTCTGCAATATTAACCCTTTCTATTTAAGGAGTAATATGAAATTATTAACCATTTTTAGAAATTAGCCCTTTTTCGTTCCACATCCAATAGAGAAGCCTCAGTGCATAGATTTGGGAAGTGATATGACCAAAACACAGGCAGCAAAATATCATGTCATGGATGCAATCAGAATCTTTGGCATCAGCCGCAACATAAATATTCGTAGCATTTGTTGAAGAAGAACAATCTTGACACTTAGACATTGCATTCAATCTTCCAGATTTTTGCAACAGAATAATAGCAGTACCCTAAGGACGAAAGACAGATCAGTTGACTAGTCCAGAAACCAGCAAACTGTTCAAGGAGTATCAGCAACGATCCAGCTTCATAGCACCCGAAAGACCAATGTACCTACGGACAACTAAAATCGCCCTAGGCAACAGCTTCGCTTAGGTTCACAACCTCCTTCAGCAACCTATTAACAGAATCCTTTATCTCGTCGGGCACGACCAAATGAGGAGGTACTGATTCCAAAGCGTACAATGTGAGAACCCTCATTACAACAACCAAACCCAAGTTCTTGTTATCACCTCTCCGTACATTTTGATTCACAAATTTGCATGATGGTTTCAAAATGCATTTGCTGCATACCTGGATATGAGCACATGACAATGAAATGAAATAAAACCCCCAAAACAGGCTAGTTATGTGTAGATGTATCAATTAAGTACATGTAGAAACAACTAAGGTCGAGGTGAAAACTTTCATTGAGACATTTGACTTACAGTGTCTTCCTGAATTCCGAAAAAATAGCGTAGTCTTTTAGCGGAAAAGATATTCTTCCTTCCCAGGGAAGGACAACCAAAGGCGGCCACCCTTTTCAGGTCACTGGCAGACAACCATCTGTGATCAGCAACTTAAGTTCATAAGTGTTCAAGGAGCTACAAGATGGAGAAACAACAATAAAAACCGAGAATATTGTAACCACATTAAAGCGCCGCATTCTTTTATGACGTGATGTGCGTCATGTAAGACACCTGCTCCATAGTGGTTGGACAATGAGTTTCCGGTCAGACCTATTGTACCAACCATTGTACGTGTGCCACATTCGGTTGTTAAAAAATATGGGGCACAAGACGTTGTCAGCATAGCATTATTGCATGAAACAACTAGCCAAATGGAAGTGGAGACACCAATTACGTATACGCCTTCACAAACACAGACCCTCACCCAAACATACGTACACATAAGAATGTTGATTTGTGTCACTATTAAGTGATTTTTCTGTCTACGTAAATCAAGATACTGCAAGTTCTCCTTTCCTCCACTTGCATATATTTTATATCCTCCCTAATCAATAACACCAAATTCCACCAGCACATGCCATAAGCAAACCTAATCCTGCTTCGATGCGGTAATGAAGTATGGCAAGTGCAGGTTACTATTTCAGTGTCTCAAACAACACAGAGGTCAATCACTCGCAGTCCCATGACAACTTTTGGGACTTTGCACTACGAACTTTACGGAATTCTTGTTCAATTGAACATCAGAGAGGATGTCATTCTAAAAAGGATGGAATCTCATTCGTAGCTATCCAAAAGTTTCGCCTCGCATTACACCTCCACTACTCTGAAATATCCTTAACGTGCAAGCATCAAATAAACCTCAGAACATGAAAACATGACATTCCCCCTAGCATATTTTCTTTATGGGCTAAGACAAGAAGAGGAAAACCAAATATTCGAATAACAAAACAACGGCCAAGCCAACCTTTTACTAATTGGTATGACCACCATTGACAAAGGCCCTTGATATTGAGCCAAAATTTCAGGCAGATAATAGTCAGCAACAAAATATATCGTGCACAAAAAAAGAAATTCAGGACAAACAATTATACGCCAGGTCCACGATCATACAACTTCTGTTCAACACAATTTTAATCTCAAACAACAATATCAAGAAAAACAGATGGCTCATGAATCATTCTTACTTTGTGATTTCTCGGTTATCCTTGCCAAACTTCTCAGCAGCATACTTCACGAAATTGCGGCCATAACTGTTTTCGAAACAAGTAACATCAAACTTGTTCCTGGGCAAGAAATTAGCATCCCTGAAGTACCCTTTCTCAAACAAATGAGTCACAAACTCAAACATTTTGCGCGAAAGCTCTTTGTAAACCCTTGGATCCTCCATACCCAAATTCGCCATACCCTCACTTTTTTCACCACCACCACAGCCACCGCCACCGACATCATTATTTGCAAACAACAAATGCAAGCTCTTGGTAATAGTCCTCAACTCCTTCGACCCATCACCGTTATTAGACTTCTTGACCAATTTCTTTACGGTTTCTCTCTCATTCCTATTCTCCGTCAACTTCCTCACTTCCTCCTCCAATTTCCTCAACTTCTTGTTCAACTCACTGCCTTCGACTTCGTTTTCGGCGGATACGTGCTCGATTTTTTCTGATAATCCGACGGCTTCCTTGAACAGAACGTGCAAGGGCTTCTTCTGCTTCGAATTGCTATCGAAGGTGTCGTGTAAATTGCTTGATTCGTGTTGGAATTGTGAGGAAAGCGACATGGGTCTGTGGAATAATACAGAGATTAAGGTTGGTTTGTAGTACTGGGTTGTATTGGAATGAATGCGAAGAGGGTTTTTGAGGTATTGTGAAGGGTTTTGGGGGTTTAGGAGTGAGTGGAAATGGCGACAACTGATGGTTCTGAATTATGTATTTGGGGCGTTGCTTATTAGTAACAATCCTCGATCATAAATTTCAGTGCTTCCAAATAAATTTCAGTGCTTCCAAATAGTTGGTGCTGTAAACGAACTGAGTTACTTTCGAAGTTTGGCTCGTTAAAGGTTCGGTTTAGTTTGACTCGCTTAATAATTGTGTTGAGTTTGAACTTGAGTTTTATCCTCGTACAGTAGAATGAGTAGAACTCAGAACTCGAAATCTCAAATCAACTCGAAAAAAGTTGAACTCGTTTAGTAAAATAAAATGGGCTCGGTTTTTCTCGTTTGCACCCATAAAAGTAGTTTTAGATTTTCATGCTCGTGCTCCCTTCCCGCTCACGCACGTGCATCAGAGCATGTGACTTAGGGCATGACTAGGAGGCAACTTGGGTCGCGTAAACACGAACCGAAGTCCAACGAATTTTAGGGCTTTTGAATAATAAATTTGAGGCCGAGTTTCCGTCATGGCCGAAACCCTGTGTTGAGATTGGGTTTGACTTACGTAGAAATCTCAAACAACTCGAGCAACTCGGGGCCGAGTGGCTGAGTGGCCAAAAGCGAGAGATTGTAAATCAGTTGAAGTTTTTTTACTTAGATTCGAATCCTAATGGGCTCACAAAATCCATGGCAAAAAATGGATGTATCAGTTGTGCTAGACCTGACGACGTTTTATGTCCCATCCTAACTGGACGGGAGGCGTGAGACCTTCTTCTACCAGTCGACTGAGCAGCAAAATTCTTGTGTGTGGCTTTCATGCCGGAGATAACTTTATAAAGTAGAGGAATTACTCCACGACAATTTTCAATAGGAGGGCTAGTACATATTTCGCGAGGCACATCAGTCTTTCCGCAGAAATCTGTCCATGAAAAGGAAAAGTTCGATGTCATTCATATTTCACAAATCACAACTAACATATTGCCCAATCACAAAATACAAGATCGTTTCGATAAAACTGATCCGGAGGACACCCCATGATCCTCTCCAAATTGGAGCTCCTTAAACAGTTCAAAAGGGCACAAGCCTCTTGTGTGTTTTCCAACGAACTCCTGAACGAGAAACTTTGCTAAGTGTTTTGAAATGAGCTTGAAATAGACAAGTAACCACTAGTTGTTGTTGGAAAGCTTCCAATTAATTTTAGCCATATATAGCAACCTTGTGTTTGTTTCTAGCTTTCTTTAAACCCAAACCCCCCGCGGCCGCATGTTTAGGCTTGGTAACCCTCTCCCAATTGATGTTTAGGCTTGGTTACTGCTGCTTTGATGTTTCTTTTGTTGAAAAAAAAAACTTGATTTTGCTTAACTTTGAGCTATTTATTAAGTGGGTCCCACGCGTCCACGTAGACCGACCCACATACTGTTGTGTTCGTCTTGGTTAAGAGATTAAGATTGAATATTTAATTGGAGAAAATCAAGTCATAGTGAATCAGAAATTGCCATGAAAAGTTGCCCTCACATGGTGTTTGGAGAAGGGAAAAAAGGCTAGTCCCACATTGGTGGGAGGAGGAAAGCTTATTGGGAATAAATGACCCAAGTGGAACTCAAAGGGTTGGCCCTTTGGGTCATAGAAGTTTCGTAGGGGGAGAGGGCATAGATAAGTATCCTTTTCTCTTATAAAACATATGCGCGTCGAACCAGGTTGGGTTGGGTTGGTCAAAAGATTGGGCTTGGCTTGGCCCACTGGGCTATTATTTTTTTGCAGCCCGTCTATTCGAACTGGGCCTGACCAGCGCGCCAACCATTGCTCCGTTCCTTTCCTCGCATCTGTTCGCCGAACAGGTTCCGGCCAACAGGCGTGCCGGTCTGTTCCGAATAGCCGTCTGCCTTTTCCGAACGGACTTGACTCTCCGAACAGTCACGGCCTTTTCCGAACGGGTATCTTAATGCCTATATAAGAGACCCGTTCCTGTTGGAACTTAAGTGTATTTTGTAAAACATTGTGTTTTTCACAAGTCCCTTTCAAAATGGAATTTCTTGCTGGGTAAGAGCGTGATTAAAACGTGTTCTAAATCAATGGGATTTGATTGTCTGCTGATTAGGAAAACCGTGTATAAAAACATGTGTGCATAATCAAAGGAATGGGATTTGATCTGATTTCAGCTGGTTAAGAAAAATGTTTATAAAACATGTGCTAAATCAATGCAATTTGATTTTTTCGTTTCCAAAACTCAGCCTAGCCCGCACCTATAAATACCGTGTTTCACAATTGATTTTAACACATCAAAAAAACCGACTCTCTCTTCTTTCCCCAAAACAGTTTCTGAGTTCGAGCATTAGGTCGAGTGTGTTCTTGTTTTCGGTTTTTCTCCTGTGCAGAGAAGGCCGAGCAGAGGAAAGAATTCTGGGCTGTTTTATCCTGGGGACGGCGGGGCAACGACGAACTGCTTGCACAATCTGGGCAGAGCCGCGAAACGTCTTAAAGAGAGCGACCTAGTCCGCGACTCAACCCAGCAATACAACTACGATTGGTAATCTGTTTTCGATTACAAACTCTTGAGGTAATCCGTTCCTTGTTCATAGCAATTACTTTCAACAATTTTAAGACGTTATCAATCTGCCATGGACTCTGAAAATAAGATTTCCGTTACCGCCACTGATATCAACAAACCTTTCCGATTTGAGGGGCTGCATTTTAAACGTTGGAAGCAAAAGATGTTTTTCTTTCTGACTACTCAAAAACTTGCTGGCTGTTGTGATTATGTGAAACCCATTGCTATTACTCCTACCACTACTGAAAACACTAGGGAGATAGCTAAATGGACCAACGATGTTTTTTTATGCAAGAACTATATTCTGAATGCCTTGACTGATGAGCTTTACGATTACTACTCCTCTTTTGATACTGCTAAAGAACTTTGGGATGCCCTCCAGAAAAAGTATGATACCGAAGAGGCTGGGACTAAGAAATATGCTGTTAGTCGTTACTTGAAGTTTTCCATGATTGATGAAAAATCCGTGGTTTCCTAGGCACACGATTTACAAAACATTGCACATGAAATAGTTTCTGAGGGAATGTCTATTTGTGAACAATTTCAGGTTGCTGTTCTTATTGATAAACTTCCTCCTAGTTGGAAAGATTTTAAAAAGGATCTCCGTCATAAGTCAAAAGATTTTTCTATGGAAAGTTTGATTGTTAGGCTTCGTATTGAGGAGGAGGCTCGGAAGCAGGATCAGAAGGATGAGGTCTCTTTGTTGCAAACAAAAAGAACCATAGCTCGGCAGTGCTTAAGCCGAGAGGAGGAATCTCGAAGCCAAATCAGAACCAGAACCAGAACAGAAGACTGAATCAGAACAAGAAGTTACCCCCTTCTGGAGGCCAGGCTCGAAACACGGACTCTGTCCAATTTGTGTGTTACAATTGTAACAAGTCTGGCCATATGGCAAGAAATTGCAAGAACCCCAGGCGTCGCGCTCCACAGGCGAACCTGGTGGATGGAGAACCACTAGTGGCTATGATATCAGAGGTCAATCTGATAAGTGGTTCAGAAGGGTGGTGGATATACACTGGCGCCTCTCGCCATGTCTGTTATGATCGCTCCTTGTTCAAGAAGTACTCTGAGGCTGATGATAAGAAAGTGCTGTTGGGAGACTCCCACACCACTAAGGTTCTTGGTACTGGTGAGGTGGATCTTAAATTCACTTCTGGAAGGACTGTCACTCTGAAGGAAGTCCTGCACACTCCAGAAATGAGGAAGAATCTTGTATCCGGCTACCTCCTCAATAAGGCCGGATTTACCTAATTATAGGAGCAGATCAGTATACCCTTACTAAAAATGGCATGTTTGTTGGAAAGAGTTATGCATGTGATGGCATGTTTAAACTTACTATTGATATGAATAAGAATGCATCTTCTTCTTACATTGTTTGTTCTGTTAATATGTGGCATGCTAGGCTCTGTCATGTTAACAAGAAACTGATTAAGAATATGAGCAATCTTGGTTTTATTCCTAATATTTCCTTAAATGATTATGAAAAATGTGAATCATGTAGCAAGGCTAAGATCACAAAGAAACCTCATAAATCAACTTTTAAGGAAACAGAATTGCTAGATTTGATTCATTCCGATATGTGTGAATTAGATGGAGTTCTCACTAGAAATGGACATCGATATTTTATCACATTTATTGATGATCATTCGAACTACACCTCTGTTTACTTGATGAAACATAAGAGTGAAGGCCTTGATATTTTTAAAATCTTTCTTAATGAGGTTGAGAACCAATTTAATAGAAAGATTAAGAGACTTCGTAGTGATAGAGGCTCTGAGTATGATTCGAATGAGTTTATAGCATTTTACAACTCTACTGGTATAATACATGAGAAAACTGCTCCATACTCACCTGAAATGAATGGAAAAGCAGAACGCAAGAATCGAACTTTATGTGAACTTGTAGTTGCAATTATGCTTAGTTCAAGTGCAGCTTCACATTGGTGGGGTGAAATTTTATTAACTGTATGTTATGTGCTGAATAGAATTCCTAATTCTAAGTCTTTGATTTCACCTTATGAATTGTGGAAAAACAAGAAGCCCAATGTGTCATATTTTAAAGTTTGGGGCTGTTTAGCATATGTTCGTATTCCTGACCCGAAAAGGTCAAAACTTGCAAGTAGAGCTTACGAATGCGTTTTTATTGGTTATGCAGTAAATAGTAAAGCATATAAATTCTTCGATATTAACAATAAGGTGATCGTAGAATCTATAGATGCTGATTTTTACGAAGAAAAATTCCCTTTTAAATCCAGAAATAGTGGGGGCGCTGAATCTAGTAGTAGTATGCCTAGATTAGAAGAACCTAGAAACGAGAACTCTAGTGACACTGAGTTTGAACCTAGGAGGAGCAAGAGAGCTCGAATCGCTAAGGACTTTGGTCCTGACTTTGCATTCTCTTTAGAAGAGGACCCCACTACTGTTAATGAGGCCTTGACTTCTCCAGACGCTGATTTTTGGCAAGAAGCCATAAATGATGAAATGGACTCGTTGGAGTCCAATAGAACTTGGGAACTAGTAGACCTACCTCAGGGCTGCAAAGATATAGGTTGCAAATGGGTGCTTAAAAAGAAATTGAAACCTGATGGTTCTGTGGATAAATATAAAGCTAGACTCGTAGCTAAGGGATACAGGCAAAGGGAGAACATAGATTTTTTCGATACTTACTCTCCTGTGACAAGGATTACTTCTATCCGAGTCTTGATTGCCATAGCTGCTGTTCATAACTTAGTTGTACATCAAATGGACGTTAAAACTGCTTTTTTAAATGGAGACTTAGAAGAAGAGATTTATATGGATCAACCCGAGGGATTTGTTGTCCATGGTCAAGAACACAAAGTGTGTAGATTAATTAAATCTCTTTATGGCCTTAAACAAGCTCCAAAGCAGTGGCATGAAAAGTTTGACAGTCTAGTTGTTTCAAATGGTTTCAAAGTCAATGAGAGTGATAAATACAGATATAACAAGTCTGATAATTATGCATGCACCATTATCTGTTTGTATGTGGATGACCTTCTGATATTTGGCTCAAGCATATCTGTCGTGAATGAAACCAAATTATTGCTTAGCCAAAATTTTGGCATGAAGGATTTGGGTGAGGCTAGTGGAATTCTCGGAGTTAAAATTACTAAA